GTCGTGCATCGGCGGCCATGTTCACATCCCCACTGCACGCGCTCGCGCCTCGCTTATCGTGTCGCATACTTGCGTATCGTGGCAACTGTTGGCTCCCCCCCCCCCCCTCCTCTCTCTCTTCTGCCAAGGCCGACGCAAGGCAGCATCTCCTAGTAAAAACTGACTGCTCGAGCTGCACAACCGCTCACTGTAGGCACTGGATCGCACATCAGCGTCCCACCGCTCATTAAAGGCAACACTTCTCCTTGATTCAGTAAATGAAGAATTATATAGAGGAAATAACAATTAAGCTTTCCCAAAGCATATCCAATTACGCAACATTCACGCGATACCCCCCCCCCCCCCCCACTCTGCGACGCATTTACTCGAGTTTCCCCCATCGGATGACGCGGGCATAATTTTTTTTTCTTTTCAACTCCTCAAGACCTCAATTGATAACGTTATTTGGGGCATGATGTCAATATGAGAACCTGTGGCGTAAAATAGATGTGGAGTATCTGCCGAAAACCGGAAGGCATAAGTATAAATACGAATATTTCAAAGAAAGCTTTAAAGAAAGACCAACGAAAAAAAAAGAAAGAAATTGAAAGTAGCCGGACTGGCATGATCGCTTGGAGAGAGAGAGAGAGAGACAAAGCAAAGGAAAGAAAAGAGAAAACATAATATGTCATATTATAATTATCTCCAACTTTCGCCCTACACTAATGCTATTCTGTGCGCATTCTAATATATACAACTGCGAGAGCATAGATAGATAGATAGATAGATAGATAGATAGATAGATAGATAGATAGATAGATAGATAGATAGATAGATAGATAGATAGATAGATAGATAGATAGATAGATAGATAGATAGATAGATAGATAGATAGATAGATAGATAGATAGATAGATAGATAGATAGATAGATAGATAGATAGATAGATAGATAGATAGATAGATAGATAGATAGATAGATAGATAGATAGATAGATAGATAGATAGATAGATAGATAGATAGATAGATAGATAGATAGATAGATAGATAGATAGATAGATAGATAGATAGATAGATAGATAGATAGATAGATAGATAGATAGATAGATAGATAGATAGATAGATAGATAGATAGATAGATAGATAGATAGATAGATAGATAGATAGATAGATTCGTCGTTAATCTACTCTAGGAGGCAGGGTTACTGATAAAAAAAAGACTCAAATTAGCTTAGCAGAATTCAAAAAAACACAGTTGGCAAATATGAAGAAATTACACTGCACGTTTTACAACCGGCCGTAGCGAGTCTAAGAATATTATGGCACCGATGACCTCCCACGGCCCTTACGCTGCTCAGCTACAATGATGCTCTGGGACGGGAGCTACAAGGCGTGCCATAGATTGCGCTCGCGAGTGAGACAGAATGGGCGTTATTTAGGATAGCGTTTCGGCGGCGTAAGCAGGAAACATCGTTGCAAAGAAGGGATCGTAAAAGGAACAAACAAGCAATCCGTTCCTAACGCGTCTTACAGCGCGAAATAGGCTAACGACTAGTTGAATAAGAAACGGACAGCACGTATTTGGACCATTATTTTGTTGGTGCTACTCGCCATGTTCGAAATAAATCTTCATGAACTCACCCATATCCCCATCTTACTCCTCGCTGAGCTCAAGGCGGCCTCTCTTAGCTAACTCTCGTAAACTGTTTTGTAGTTTATTGGGAATCATAATAATGCCAGTACTCGTTCCAGACTTCAAGTAGCATGACACCTCTCACTTCGCTTTTTGCTCTTAGTGGAGACGCTGCAGACCATTACATTAGTTCGAATTAGTAAGCCACATGCTCCTCAAATGGTAAGACAGTCGTCTGTAATGCATAAGAGGAAGCTTTATGAGCAAATAGACAAAATTAATAAACACAAGAGACTTGTTGCAGCACTGGTCTGTAGTTCCCACGTGTTGCTGTGAGCTCGTCGTGAGTTTATCAGCGTAGATTTGGCTCCGGTTGTCATTTATTGGTGGACACATGCAAAAACAAAAAAAGAAAATACAAAAAAACTCTTAACCAGCCATGCTTCAATAGCTGCACCAATGTCACCTGAACCGTAAAATATGCTTCACATGAAACAGATAACTTTCATCCGCGTGAAAGCAGTCCGACCATGCAGGCACAAGAATAATTTAGCATAAAAAAGCTAAAAGAAAACCTGCTTGTGTTTTACGGTTAAGAATCACATTTAAAAAAATGAACCCTGTCCTGGCAGGGTTAAGCGTGAGTTGGCATAATCAGGTAATATCAAGTGCAGCGGTGCACACACCAAGCTCATTTGGATCAAAATTACTCTACGGCGTCTCCTAGCCTGAGTGCTAGCCTGATATACAACGTGAATCAACCAATTACAAGGCATTCTTTCACTCCGGGACGTTCCGGCACTGTGAAACAAGAGCGATTTCACGGCCAAATTCAGTATAGTATATAGTAGTAGAAGCAGGGTCATTCAGTGATTTGAAGGACTCTTACGGTCATCATCATCATCAGTCTGACTACATCCACTGCAGGACAAAGGCCTCTCCCATGTTCCGCCAGTCAACTTGGTCCTCCGCTTGCTGCTGCCATTTTATACCTGCAGACTTCTTAATCTCATCTACCCACCTAACTTTTCCACTTCCCTTCTCTGGGAATCCAGTTAATTACCCTTAACGACCAGTGGTTACCCTGTCTACGCGCTACATGCCCGGCCCATGTCCACTTCCTCTTCTTGATTTCAACTATGATATCCTTAAACCCGGTTCGTTGACTTAGCTACGGAGCAGAAACCTGGAGACTTACAAAGAGGGTTCAGCTTAAATTGAGGACGACGCAGCGAGCAGTGAAGCAAGAAAATAGGAGGTGTAGCGTCAAGATAGAAGAAGACTCTTGCAATAGCACAGAACTTTGTTCAACTTGAGATCAGCGATTGGCCGAAATTCACTTGAGCCGTTAATGGTGTTGGATTAGGGAGGCATCGTTGCACAGTTCTATCACACGCAGCAGGGGGCATGCACGAAAACTTCATTCCCCTCTGCAGTTCTTCAGAGCCAGAACTGGAATGGTCCTAAAATAACGGGAAGTTGATCTATAGTTGGTAAGAATTCACGTCGGAATATTACGCTTGTGTTGTCATGGCTCCACTCTTGCGACCGTGTTTTAATGCCCCTCCCCCCTCCGTTTTTTTTTAAAGATGAAATGGATTGCTCTTCGTAACCCTGCATGCGCAACTGCATAACACGAGGTGGCCGCGCTCGCACGTAAAATGGTAAGCCGCAACGGAATGCTTACGTGCACAACAACCCTTTGCCTGGTTGCTGACTTCCCGCTCTCAGCTGCCGCGGGCGTCTCTGGGCCTGCTCGGACGTATAAATTACGTCGATTGGCTTTAGCGGAATAGCCGACAAGCTGTGCTATTCACGTCGGCTCCTTGGGGCTCATCTGGCGACGCGCGAACACGCCTCCAAGGCAGAATTATCGCGCTGACCCCGACATAACCGTATACGATTACGAGCCCCGTTTCACGCTTGACGTTCTGACACTAACGCCGAATCGTCCTTTTCTTGCTTTCTCCCGATCACCTAATCGATTCCTCCACGTGCACTTGCCGGCAACATCTTGCTTCTCCGAACGAAGCTTTTTCGGTCGGGCCTCGCAATCATCAATGAACACGGCTCGTTCGGTGCGATCCCTCGGAAATACGCGTCGTTGCTAAATGAGCTCTCCCACCTTTGGTCGTTTCCCAAGGCTCGCTTCTTTGAAGTCTTCGCGCGCCTCCTGCTCAGGTGCTCAACAAAGGTGGAGCAAACTTAATATGGACGGCGGTGCGTATAAATCCTCTCGAACGGATTAGGCACGTGACCTTCTGTTTTACCATAGACCTTGAATCAACAAGCAGAACTAAATCATTAGCCGCAGCTGAAAACATCCCCTAGATTCGTATTTTTCGTTGTGCCATTTTTATTATGTTGCCGGCAGAAGCATATATACAGCGCTATCTAATGATGTCCGTGCTCTTGAAATGAGCACTCAGACGCATGAAAAATCCTGATGCACGTACCCTTACTGACTTTTATTGCGGCGAACAAGGTATTCGTGTAAGGCAGGCTTCCTGGCATACACTCTCCGAAAGAGTACGTGAATCAAGGACCGACTCGTTAGTACTTGTTACTTCAATGAAGACGATGCGGTCGTATGCGAAAACGCGTATATCTTGTTTCAGGTTCCAAAAATTGAAATTGAGTAGAAGTAGCAATAAGGATGTACGATGTGTTTGCAACGAATATAATTCGTAAAGTGCAGCAGCTCAACAGAGTGCGTCGTGTGAAAAAAGTATTCAAGTGGATCATGATTTATATTTTATGCTTATGTCATTTCCTTCATATATCTCATATTTTCGAACTTTCCATATGTGGGGCTATGGATTAGTAGTGCAAAGTTTGCGATAAGGAAGACGGTTTGAGAAAAAACACATATCTAACGCCATAAAAGCATCGCCTGTTTAGCGAAATAGGGTGATCTAGTAATATGCGAATACATATTTTTCTTTGAAAGCCGTGAAAACAATTTTATTGATGTGGCTACTTAGGCTACCAATCGGTAGAGACACTGCAGTTTCGAGAATGGAAACATTGTTTAATAGGTCAGTAGGAGCACATTACCAAACACTATGAGGCACGCGATCCGAATCAGTTCTGACGCGTTATCGTTTCCCGCAAGAAGGTGTCACTCGCGTGTCTTGAGTACTTGAATGATTAACGGCCAATTTCGTTCGTCCCGTCAGAGAGGTGCCTGCAGCACAAGGGTAATTGACGGCCTTTGGCGTCTCATACGTACGCGGCATGTAAGTGCTCCTTCCTCTCCGAGCGAAGATCCATACCGACCTGTGGCGGGAGGCGCGGGAGGAGGATGCTCGGGCAACCTCCGGCCGCGCCGCGGCGTCTCCCGCGTCGCGGTTCGCGCGCAGGCGCTGCGCCAGTCGGGGCAGCGCGCATGGCGCGGGTCGTGCTGCTGGCGCCGGTGCTGCTGCTGCTGGTGCCGCCTCCGGCCGAGTGCGCGGCTTCGGCGGCGGGCGTCCCCGTGTGGCCCGTGAAACGCGCCGTGGTCGTCGAGGGCGACGTCATGCTCGGCGGCCTCATGATGGTGCACGAGCGCGAGGACCGGCTCACGTGCGGACCCATCATGCCGCAGGGCGGCATCCAGGCGCTGGAGTGCATGCTCTTCACTCTGGACTGGGTGAACCGGCAAGGGTACCCGTTCTCGCTGGGGGCCTACGTGCTCGACGACTGTGACAAGGACACCTACGGGCTCGAGCAGGCCGTCGACTTCATCAAGGGTGAGCCGCCGCTGCCGGGGGGTCGGGTGGGCTGCTTCGAGGGCCGCAGCCACCTCCTCCTTCTCGAGTGCAGACCGCGCTCTCGCTTGGGCTAGGTTTGCCTTCGTGGCATCTGCGCCGCGGCCGCACGAAGGCGCACCTCGTCCGGGCGAGTGCCGGCCGCCGCCATCGATCGATACAGCGCGGGCCGCCTCTTCGTCGTGTGCCGGACAGCGCGCGTGCGACGACCGCCGGAAGAGTCACCGGGGCCCGCCTCTGCGCAGAGCCCGCATCGCTAGCCGCAACACTCATCGCGTCGATGGCGCTATCACGACAATTACGCCGCCAATGTTGCCGACCCGCGAACAGGGAGACACACTGCCATCTGCGAATGGCGCGTCGATAGAGAACGTAGCGTCGTCTCGTGAACGCTGTTGAGCTGACACGCAGTCGAAGCCATTGACGCATCCACACCTACCGGCTCGGCAGAGTGTGCGTGGGCGCGACAAAGTTGACCGCTATGCAACAGGTGCGCGTTGCGTGCGCTACAGGTCGGCGCGCACGTTCAGAACGGACCCCGTGGATTCATGAAGGCACACAAAAAGAAGAACACCGAGGGAGGGAAATATCGAAAAAGAAGAGTGGGCTCAGGATGGGCTTCGCGTGGCGACTGCAACGTTGCGCAGAATGTCCTACACCGACGCTAACACTTGTACGAATGGCGGTGTAGTAGTGGCTCTGAGAAATGCACCTTAACTGCATACAGATTTATTGTGATAAAATCCGTGCACAATTACAGTCATCATGCTCGGGGAACGGGAACATGGAATGATTCTATAGGGACGTGCGAAAGAAATACACTGATCTAATATCGGTGTTTGATTTTTTTTTTACCTGAAGCAAGAACAAAAGTTTATTGTAGTGAGAGTCGATATCAACGAGGTGGTAATAAAGGAACTAGAATGTCACTCAGCGATACCCGAAACACCACAAAGTCGCCGAGACAAGAAGCTTGTTTTTGTTCATTGAGGCACACGGGCGAATTCGAAGCGATCGGGCACTTCATGACAACAACGGTTGCACATAGATGTGCAGCCCTTATGATTTCATTGACACATTCGAAGCACTTACCACAGCTACCTTGGCGCGTGTAGCCACACTGATAACTTGAGTGTGATCACTTTGAAACGATCAGTGATTCTGTGTACTTTGCCACGGCCGCTCTTACTTCTTCTTGCAGATTTGCGATACGTTCATTGCGTAAGCATGACCTCCTGGCATGGTGTCCCCGATGCTGACGTAGTTATGCGGCATCGTCCATGCTTTCGGCTGGAATGCATGCAGTGTAGCCAGCCACCGGCGTCAGAGATTGCATTCTGTGGGTGGGTGTTCTGGTGTGCGCTGCAGGCTCGATAGGCAACATCGATGACGGCACCTACCGCTGCCCGGATGGCTCGAGCCCCGATCGGATCAAACAGACCGTCATCTCGGGCGTGCTCGGTGCCGCCTCTTCGGTCACGTCCATACAGGTGGCCAACCTGCTGCGGCTTTTCAAGATACCACAGGTGCGTGCGTCAGACGCGGATCGTGACGAGAGGTTGTGGAGACACGGGCGATGTGCGTGCGAAAATGGCGAGACGTAATTGCAATCAGCCGAGACGAGGTGATGCATCACTTCTGTTCTGTGTACGTAGCGCTTTGCTACGTTTACTGGAGAAAAAACGTGCGTTTCTTGGTGTGCTATCACTGATGAGTACCGACACGAACGATAAGTGCCAACATTGTCTGCGGCAGCTTAAGCAGAATCAGAGTGAATGTATATAAAAAGTGTTGGAGGTAAACTGCGTGATGCACGTTATGTGGCTAGAAAAAAAGTAACAATACGTTCATTGAAAATGTAGAAAATTTATCATTTTGGCTTCGAAAAGAGGAATCAGAACAAATGGGAAGGAAGCCTGAAGAAGTCTGGCAACTTGAGAAGAGTTTATTATCTGTCTTAGTGAAATTATTGAGAAGCTTTACGACTCAATCCATATGACTGAATCCGTTTCAAGACACACTAAAGCTGTAAACTTCAAAAAAAAGAAAAAAATAGTCCAGAAAAAGACAGAGAGAAAAAGAGACAAAGAGCAAGTAAATATATATTGCTCCAAACACTGCGAAACATAGTAGTTGCTCAGGGCAAGGCGCATTACATGACGGAAACTCAGACTGATTGAGCCCACCTTTTCACTTCTAAATAAATCGCGACCTATCTGCCGGGCGACAAAGCCACGTATGATTATAGAACGCTTATTCGCGCAGGTGAGCTTCTTTTCGACAAGCCCCGAGCTGAGCAACAAGAAGCGCTTCGAGTACTTTCTGCGCACGGTGCCTTCGGACGAGAGCCAAGTGCAAGCGATGGTCGGCATCGTGAAGCTGCTCAAATGGACGTACGTGTCCATCCTGTACGAGGAATCCACCTACGGGAATTCGGTGCGCGCTTCCGGAACGCGCCCCGGCAGCATTCTCACGCGCGCATTTTGTTCCGCAGGCATTCGACGTGCTGGAACGAGAGCTGGGCAAATACAACATCTGCATCGCCGTCAAGGAGAAATTGACCAAGGACTCCGGCGTGGCTTCGGAAATCACGTACGACGAAATCATCAAGAAGTTGACGAACAAGCCTCGGGCTCGAGGTAAGAAGCGAACCATGCAGTGCTGCTTGGCAAAGCGCACTCTGAAGGAAGTGTGCGGAAGATAATGTTGTGCTAAGCGGCACCCAATGTATGTCCAGGAATAGTAACAATAAATGTTGTTTTATACGCCTTTATAAAAGAAGAAAAAAATAAAGGAAGGGAGCAGGCTTACAGCTATCATAGAGAAGGGCACAACGACTTCCTCCTATTTCGGAAGGAAGCACATACGGATTAGACGAAGACACAAGAAACAAATAAGAATAACGTTAAAAACAAACAACACCAAAGCATATACACGATTGTAGTGAAATCCTTAGAACTTTCTAATGAGTTTTCCTGCTCAAAATTTCTACCAATTTGTATAGGCCTGTATTGAACGGCACTCGGCGACAATCACAATGGCGACAGCTAAGGCGGAGCACGTCAGACTCGCAGCACAAATGCCACGAGCAGCGTTCATTCAGAAAGGAGCCAAAGAAGGTGACCCACTAGAAAGCGCTAAAGAGGATGATCCTTTGCAGAGTTTAAAGGCTTCAATACCACCGAAAATTTCTCTGAAAGGGAGGCCAAGCTCACTGATGCAGGAAAGTTAGCAGGGCACAATGGGCCATCGAGCAGCGCACCCTTTCGGGAGCTGGCAAACATCAGGAATCGCACACTTTGCTTCAATCAGTCCACATTGCTTAATTAGAGATATAAGCTGCCTAAAGATGTTGAAACGTCTAGCAGGAGCCACAAGACGTGCACAATGGCCGTGTTAGTTGCCCTACTCCTGAGCTCAGCTTGCCTTTATTTTTCTTAGGTACGGAGTAACCATGGCTCCAGCTAACATCTATCTTTTCATTTTACCTTTATCACTTTCTCTTCTTTGTTTACTTTCTGTCATTGCTATCTGCACATTGCCCACACTTACCTAGGCACCTGCGTGTATTAGTTAAAAAACAAAAGAGAAAAAAACCCGGTCGAATTTACAAAACTTTTCGTTAGTAAGGTAAGAGCATTTTGCTGTTGGCCGACAACCAACGATGATATGTCCTTTATAAGTACTAGCTAATACTTTTTCTTACGAACAATACTGGTTCGCATGCTATGTTTTTTGTGGATATAGGTCACGGAAGTAACACCAGGCTCATTAATTCCATCGAAATTTATGGCATTGCTCACAAATGAGGCGTGATGCTCGACCGCAAAGCAACACTATTTAGGGCAATAAAAAGTGTTCGCGCAGACGATGATTTCTTAGCGAGAACAAAAGCAGTAATGGACGAAGGCACAGCGAAACCGTGGAAAGGTAGAGTGTCCTTCTGACATCCCTCTTTAAAGCTCCGTCCTTAGTAGGAAACCTTTACAAAACACAAGCACCACAACGCTCCTTGCAGGCGTCATCATCTTCGGCTCGGACCAGGAAGTGGCCGGCGTGATGCGAGCCGTCAGCCGCAACAATGCCACCGGCCAGTTCGCCTGGATAGGCAGCGACGGCTGGAGCGCCAGGGAGCTCGTCTCCCACGGCAACGAGCCGCAAGTCGAAGGCACGCTATCCGTGCAGCCGACGGCCGGAAAGGTCGAGGGGTTCGACGACTACTTCCGCGCGCTCACGCCTTACACCAACCGCAGAAACCCGTGGTTCATCGAGTTCTGGGAGCACTTCTTCGGGTACGTACGGCATGCATATGCAAATACATGCGCATACCCATTCTCAGGAATGCATTCGCTTCTATCTGGGTGTCTGGTAGCTATCTTTGCGTTTCATTGTTCTGCCGAAGTGAACCTCGGAGGTTACGAGATGGAAACGCGTTGTTCGACTCTCATCTAGGTGCCACAGCAATTACAGCTGCTCGCAGAGTTCTTTCAGTTATTTATTTCGATTGATTTTTAGTAAATATTTCGATAGTTAATTGGCCCGTAGCATAATGACCTTGTGTACTGAAATCTTATGTATTCTCTACAACTTATAACTTGAATCAGAATAATCGATTTCGCCCCACTTCTATTTCTAAGAAGACTTCTTTCTGAATATGTGCAAAACTCGAAACGAGTGCTCCACCGCGAGTGCTTTGAAAAGAATCAAAGGCGTCACACAATACTTGTTTACTAAAAACAAAAAAAAACCTACTCAATGGCTGAAGATGAAACACAATTTATAGCATGGTCGTGTTGGTTAACACACATAGCAAAGAACCGGCCAACGCCTATAGGCTATTCATTTCTTTCTTACCTGTCCTTTTCGTTCTGTCTGTGTTCTGCTATGATGCCGATGTAGACCTACCAAACTGTCCATGTTCTTAAGGTCGTCTGATGCATAAATAATGCCTGCAAAATCCACTACAAAAAGTGGGCTCATTTAAAAGCAGGTGTTTTCAACATCGCAGTCAATCTTGACGCTTTTCTGACGAGTAAATTAGCTCCTTTATGATTCAGTCAACGAAGTGCCATTGTCATGCCATGGTCATCGCCATTGTTGCTGCCGCTTTGTCATTTCATTTTTATCGACTTGGAGTTGTCATTGTGGCACAGCCTTCGCCTTTTCATTGGCGCATGGCCTTTGCCGCCATGGCACTGTCATAATGCGCTTTGAACAGTACATATCTTAGCAATGTTCAAGGTGTATAAGCCTCCTCTTTGGCGCGTGTTTCAAAAGGATTTACTCTCGCCTCGTATGTCACTTTTGCGAGTATATACTTGCCGAGCGTACAACTTGAGTCACAAGCTACGCGCCATTGGTTGTTAGACACTGGACATGTGAATATTCTTGACAATAAGCCAGCCTAGGCATGCTTTACGGAGAAACACTAGCAGGCAGGCGAGCATGGATGGATGCGATATTTTAAATAGACTGTCAACAGAACATTTAACAACTGATGAAAATGTCACCATAATGAAGCCGACTGTATAGAAATTAGCTAAGTAAGCAGAGTACGACCATAATGAACACCGACCAACGAGATGCAGATGCGTGAAAAAGGAGTCGGCAACCGAAAAATTAAGAGGTAGCACTACAAAAGTGATGTTCTTGATAAGAGTAACAGTGAAGGTTGAGAGATGCTTAAACTTCACTTTGGAAATGATAAAAATGAGAAAAAAAAAAGAAAACGTCGATGGCAGCTTCTCGTTTTAAAATACGAAAGAAAGGATTAATCGAACACAGCGCGATTGTGTCTTGTCTCACAACGCCAGTAACAGCCCACGTGTCACGACCATGCGCGTGAGCTTCGAACGTCTTTTAGCGCAAAGACGTTAAGCGTCAATCTCAAAAGCATCAGTCTACTCGATAGAAACTTGATTTTTTTCTCTATCATTTCGCTAGTCAAGTGTAATTTAATTTGCCATTATTCTTGGGACATCTCCAACAAGAAGCGCAACAAGTTCGTGTGCTGCTAGTGCTGCGCTGCACAGTAAACACTCCTTAAATGTTTACCTTTCTTAAGCTCGAACTACGCGGGAACGACGCTCTTGTTTTTCCTAAGGCGGCTGCTTTGTTTTTGTTTTTTACCAGACATCAATGATCCGCCGTGTTTGCAGTTTTACTTTTCAAATCTCGTTTGCAGCCTGAACCACAGAAACTCGGTTCAAGTTATCCGCTATTATCGAGTTAGCAGGAGTGTTTGCCGCCTTGACTGTGTTTGTAGCAGATTACCTTGCTCCTTTTCACGAGTCGTTTTATTTTGATGTTGTATGTTTTTTTTGTTTTTTCATGCTTTATTATTTCTCAAGGTGTATTAGCTTGTAATGGGGAGGGAACAGGTCACTCTTCTTGCTTTCCGCAGCATCGCCAGCACTTTTCTATAGATCAAGAGTGGAGCGCGGTCTTACAGTTTTTTCTTTTTTAGGGGTTGCGCAATCTATGTGTAGCGGTAAATGTACGAGTAGATACACCGTGCTATCATCATGATTTAAAAATGTGGTGATGGGTCTACACAAAAAAAAAAGTCGTGAATGTCGTGAAGGCCGGTGCTAACAACCTTCTTTGAAGGACATTTTTTGCTCGACAGCACCCGGAAGAGGAGAAAAGTTATATCGATAGATAACTTCACAGATTATTTGTGTTCATGCGAATGAATCAATCTTTAGAGGAAGACGGCACAGACAAAATTTTTTCTGGCTGTAACATTCCTGAGCTATAACAGAAATTTCCGAAAAAAAACGTTAAAAGCTGTGTAATTTGCTTTCTGTTTTTCTTTTTTTTGATAATCTAGAATGTTCTGAAATTAATGTGCTTTACTGGAAAATATACGTCACTTATATTCTGCGGCGCTCAACGAACGCTTTCGTGCACGTTTTTTTTTTTCGTTTTTACTCCGTCTGTCCTCATTGTTTTTTTTTGTTTATTTATTATTGCCTCTTAAGCTAATGCATTAGCTAGATAATGGAGTAGAAAAATATGTGGATTTTTCTTTTTAGAGAAAAACCAAGCCCTAAAACTAAAACTGGACTAAATTTGACGGGAGCGCAAAAACATGCTTAGGGTAGTTGTGTTTTAAAAATATTTCTAAACAAGGTGGGAAATCCCTGATTGTAACATAAAATAAAAAGCAAAAGAAAAGACTGTTCGGAATCAGAACTGAGCCATATTCTACGCCTATTTGAATCAAGGTGAGCCATTGAACCACTGGTGCCTTAACTCCTCGGCCCCGAAAGTTCCGATAAGAGCGCAATTCAATTCATTTCACGAGTGACCTAGTCGCTTGGTTATCGTGCTTGCACTCCAAGATGGCACCTCTCTAACAGAAGACGATAAAAAGGAATAAATTGGGGACAAATCTATTTCTAAAGAAGTGATTATAAATGACACAGCATAATGAATAAGTTAAAAACGAGAAGAAGAATAAGAGTTCACGCCTGTTTAGAGACCTTCATTGAATGCAATGAACAGAAAAAAAATAAATAAATAAACGAAGGCGGATTTTGCTCTAAGCCGCGCAAGGCTTGAAACATCGGCACTTGACGATTATGAAAACTAGTCTACTGCTTCTAGGTTGTTTATAGGCCTATGCAGCTCCAACGTCACTTCTATAGGTTTTCGCTGTAGGCTTTAGCTAGATAATGCTAAGTTGCTTTAAGTTGTTTCTCAGTCAACAAAGGTTACAATGAAACCACAGACAATCACAGAAATGGCATGGTTGTCCAAATACCAGAGGCAGAAACTAGCGCTCAAACCAAGCATTCGCAACTCTTATCAATCTACGGACACGTCGTCATTGGCATCGCTTGGAGGTCTACTCGCAACCCATGCTGCCTCCCTCGTTTTCTGGTATTCTGTCGTGTGAGCCCGGGGTCTTCAACTCGCCACAGTCGCTTCGCATCCTTCATCATTTTTAGTGGACCAGCGGTGAGCATACAGTGGGTTTTATCGAATTTTCGTGGCACATACTCCCTTGTAATGCTAGTTTTCTTATAGGTCTCACGAATAAATTACGGCTAGTTTAAACATCTTCGAAGTTTAAAAGTTTGGCACATTCCATGCGTTGTGGGGATTCATCTCCTGAAAAGCAGAAACAGCGAAGCAGTTTATTTCATTTTTTTTTGCTTAGAGCGAAGTCTTGGGCCAAGGTGCAACGGCGGATGGATGAATGGACGAAAGAACTTCAATAAGGTCCAATAGGTCGCGATGTTGTCCTATCTCGAAGCGGGCTGCTCCCACGTTGGGACCAAAAGGCCTAGCCTTTCGTCAACTTCGCGGGGCCGTTTGGCTACAACAATGACTTTATGTAAATTGAGCAGAGCCAATTACGTGGGCTTACCGGGCACACTAAGTTAACTGATGCATAAAAATATTGGGGGCCCCTAAGCTACAACTTGTTCCTAGTGCCTACTTCAACCACTTTGTTCATCCTCCTCCCTAGTGCATACTTTTTTTTCTGTATGACGTTTCCCGAAAACTTTAAGGTGTGGATTACTGCAATGTAATCGATAAAGTAGAAAGCTGCTCCTGTCAGTAAAGCTTTCGCACAAGGTTGCATTCTGTGTAATCGGTGGCATGATTTAAACTACGAGAAATTATTCGCGTGAAATGCTTTTGAGCTTGATATGTACCCCCTGCGTGATCTTAAAAGAATACGCGTAGTAACGTGTGTACCTATTGTACTGGGTAGCCGGCTTTAAACTATCAATTGTTCTGACGTCCAATGGCATTGCACGCCTGTACCACGAAATATTACTTCGATATAACAAGTTGTATTGTGAGGCCTGTATACATGATGCATGTATGCGAAGCATATGATCTTTATTTTCACTGATTTCGAAGCAGAGGAAGTTATTTCCTCTACATTTCTAAGCATACGCGTGGCTGTGCGGTAGAAGATCTGCTTGGAAGTGGTTAAGTCCTCACCCAGAGCTGTAAAACTTTATTGTTCATTTCATTTGCATCTCTCGATTTTTCGGTCACGGTCAAGATGACGATTTCTCACTCACAACCAATGACACCGGCGTCCGGATTTCCATTAGAATATTTGCGAAACGAGCTTTTTAACGCTGTCGCATTAAAACATACCTCATGGTCCGACGTGACTTCGGCACAGGTGTAAGAGAAGACAGTGACAGTGGCAAGAACTTTTATTGAAACACCCCTACAAAAATGATTGAGCAGAGACGTCACTTTTAGCGTCTCTCATAATCATATGGTGGTTTTGGGACGTTAAACCCCACATATCAATCAA